AAGGGGTGGCCCCTGGAAACTACAGGTCCCAGCATGCAATGCAAGCAATCTAAGCTGCAGTGTTATATGCTGGGGCCTGCAGGTTGCCTAGGGATGGGCTACCTGCCTGGCTACATCTGAAACGGCTTCCCCCCTGTGTTAAATTGTCCAGGGGCCAAATGCTGGTCACTTGCTTTTGGCAGCCAAGTTTACAGCCTCTTTAGCCTTTCAGTAATGTCAAACGAGCATCACCACGCGAGCCAGCCAGCTCCAGAGCATGCGTCTCGTTCCTGGTCCTTGGACAGTCATCGCAGCTCGGTACATGTACGGCCTGGAATCGGTCACTCTTATTTTTATCAGTGTCAAGAATAAACATGCTCATCTGGCTTAATTAATTTATTTTGTTTTGAGAGAGAGCGAGAGAGAATCGATGGCCCGTGCAGACCTTTCCTGCATGCTTCGGGGACGGTGGGAGGGAGAGATTGTTTTGTTGGGGGTCAGTAATGAAAGCTGTGCTGTGAATCCAAGGCTTGTAACATTTCTGCCAGAGAAGCCAAATTGATCTCAAATGATCAACTCCAGACTGCAAAGAGAGTGGGTGGAGCTAACGCCTCCTAATGTGCAGCCCTGCTCGCTAGGAGTAGCCAGGGGCCTGTCTCCTGGGGGAACCCAGGTCTACACGGGAAGGTTTTAGCAGCACAGCTATCGCTGGGAGGCGTGGGGGGGATCACCCCTTCAAGCTGCTACTGTTACTTAGCACAAGCCAAGACTGACCCCTGACACCTTCCACGCTGTCGTTGGGGTACGGTCAAACCACCCAGTGCCAGCCTTCCCGTCCCAAGGACTCCCTCCCTCTCATTGGCCTGCCAGTAATAGGCTCCAGTGGTCCATGAGCCCCTTCCCCGGCTCTCCAGACACATCTGGAACTTTCTGTGTCTCTTTGAGAGTTTAAACTCCTTGAGCCAGGGACTGGCTCTAGAGCTGGGCCCCGCTCTGGATCAGTGACTGGATGTTGGTGCTTTCTCGTTCCTTCTCAAGAGCCCAGTCACTGAGTTCCCAAGTTTCAGAGTGGCAGCCATGTTAGTCTGATCAGTAAAAAGAGCAGGAGTACTCGTGGCACCATAGAGACTAACACATTTATTAGGGCATAAGCTTTCGTGGGCTGAAACCCACTTCATCGGATGCATGCAGTGGAAAATACAGTAGGAAGATGTATATACAGAGGACATGAAAAAATGGGTGTTATATGGCAACACCCATTTTTTCATGTCCTC